CCCCCCCCCCCCCCCCCCCCCCCCGAGATGACATAGGCTGCAACCGCTGTAACATCGAGGTGCCCTTCGCTTTAAGTGAATGTGGCACACCGTTTCTGTTTCCAGGCAACCATGTTATAGGAGAAGGGCAGCATGGATATCCTAGAGACACAATGTCAAAAAGATTGCAAGGACAATTGTCTGGTGACAACATGCGTGGGCGCTCGTGCACAGACACAAAAACACACACACCTAATGCTGTACAGTGGACCAAGTAAGGGTTAACCTGGAAACCCAGGCAGACACACACAGGTGCAACACTTGGCATTTTGGAGCGTTTGGGAATTTTATGTGGATGTGAGTAAAGAAAGCGCCCCTTTTGCATGCATTGTGATGTGTATAGCATGAGCATTTGCTGGCACACATCTTCGTGGGTTTACGGGTCGTTGTGTAAAAGCAAGCGTTGCGATGCATACTCACAATGGGGCTGCGTTCTTGCTGGTTTGTGGACCAACGTGTCTTCTGTGTTCCCCTGATGAGTCTGGTGCACGCTAGTGAACTCTGACCTATGCTGGAGCACCCATGCACTATTCCACTTAAATCCACATACACTTGCATCCATTGTATGGTCCACCTGATTGACTTGCTAGAAGGAGTCACTGTGACCCGAGATAAGGCTGTGGGCTAGAGGGGGAGCTGGGCCATCGGGTGCCCTGGCCCAACGCTCCCTCCCCTGGGCAGAAAAGGGAGATGTGAGCCCTCCAGTCCAGATGGTGATGAACTCCTTGCCAGGTGCCAGCTTCACCGCTCCACGCATCTGCACTTGCTAGAGACAGAAGGAAGATGCGGCGCAGCAACAGACCACACCCGCAAGCATGACACAAATTCACACTAGCACTCTCGAAACAGTCAAAACTCCTCTTGCAGCTGCAGACCAGGCGCTCACAGTCTTTCTGGTGCTTCTTTCCCAGAATGTCTCTCCTCTTGCGTTTGATATGTCCGAACGCACGAAATGTCTTGCACAGGTGGAAGCAATCCCGCTCCACAGTGCCCTGGAGGTTGAGACCGATGTGACACAGAGCGGTGTGTGTATGGCATTCCCTGCCGGCTCCCTCTGCCCTGCTCGTCCACACAGGTCTGTACAGTCGCTCTGTGCTTAAGCAGGATGACACTGAGCTTCCCAGCTATAGATCACAACAACAAGAACACGCCCACTGCCTACTGTAGCCACCTTCTACCAGAGCGTCATCCTCTCTCCCTCTCTCTCCTTCCTGCCCACACTCCTATTTATCTTCCTGTGTGCCTTTCAACTCGTCTGCATAAGCACTCATGCCCTAGTTCATTTCTCCAGTTGGTCGTTTTTCTGTTTTGTTTTTTTTTATCTCATGTGTCCCACCTGCCGTCCCTTTTGCAGCTGCACTGTCAGTGGAGCCTGAATGTGTTTTTCTGCTTTCAGCACCACGGAGAGCTCTCTCTCTCTCTCTCTCTCTCTCTCTCTCTCTCTCTCTCTCTCT